TAAACACAAATATGAATTTTAATTTGCGTTTCGAGTTGCAGAAATTAGTCATTTTTCGATTTTGGTCGAACAGTATACGCGCGCACGCAATGTTCACAACTTTGGGATTTTTTTACTCCCTTAAATGAAAACACCCCCCCGTAAATTTTTGTATACGGGTTATTCTAAGAGTGCTAAACTCAAATATGAATTTTAATTTGCGTTTCGAGTTGCAAAAATCGGTCATTTTTCGATTTTTAAATCTATGGCTAGAATCTATGGCTAACTTCACAACCGTGATCTTAATCAGTGCTGTAGTAGTACCACGCCCTTCACGAAAACCAGACTGGAATTTGTTAATCAGATTAAACTCCCCAAGATATTTCTGAATCTGTAAATAAGATAAATGTCCAATAGCTTTTGAGAACGTAGATAGAATAGAAATGGGTCGAAACCCACCAACATGGGACGGAAATTTAATTTTTGGGATAGGAATAACATGGGCGATTTTGTGGTGAGGCCGCCTCTGAACGACCTTTGGTAATACCGCTGCCACCAGAAACAGTATTTCGCGCTTCCTAACTCTTAGTCTGAAGGACCCCTAATTGATCTTAGCAAATCAATCAAANTGGAACCAAGATACACAAGAAGAGGTAAAACCAATAGCAGAAAGCCTAGTTAACAGGAAGGCATGGTCCACCGAATCAAAGGCAAGTAAATCAAGTAACACTAGCAAGGTAACACAACGCTTATCACAAGCAGATCTAATATCATCGGTGATCTTAATCAGTGCTGTAGTAGTACCACGCCCTTCACGAAAACCAGACTGGAATTTGTTAATCAGATTAAACTCCTCAAGATATTTCTGAATCTGTAAATAAGATAAATGTCCAATAGCTTTTGAGAACGTAGATAGAATAGAAATGGGTCGAAAGCCACCAACATGGGACGGAGATTTAATTTTTGGGATAGGAATAACATGGGCGATTTTGTGGTGAGACCGCCTCTGAACGGTCTCGACCTTTGGTAATACCGCTGCCACCAGAAACAGTATTTCGCGCTTCCTAACTCTTAGTCTGAAGGACCCCTAATTGATCTTAGCAAATCAATCAAAACTAAATGACAAGCGCGCGGTCACTATTTCAGAACCGTGGGTTCTTTCACTAAGGCTCTGTCAGGAAAAGGAGAAAATCAAAAGACAAGTGTTCTAACCACTCTTAAACTATATTAATAAAATAACAAGAAATAATTGACAATGAACAAAATGAACCTTAAAATCTATCTACGCTTTTTTATGACCCGACGTTACTTAAAAAGAGATATTCCTGAATCTAACCCCGACAGCTAGTACTCCTTGACAGATACATAGGTGATAACGGAAACTGACAAACAGACTTACTCAGGACTTGTATTCCGATTTGGTGGTACGCCGCGCCGATGGATCGCAACCCTGGATCCTTTTTGGTGGCTTCTCGGAATTTAACCGGGAAGGTTCCAACACCACTCTCGCACCAAATCCTCAGTGGAAACACAATTTCCGACACGACACGGATGCCCGAAATGCAAAGAATGTTTACAATTGAAACTAAGTCACAGTTCTCGATATGCAACGACACTTATTGTTAGAATTGGTGTTAATGCGAATTCTAAGTTGCTATCTAACGGAGCGCTGACGACGTTTCGACTCAAAAATCTCTTAGGTTCGTTGTGATTCTAATTGATTCTCATGTGATTGTTATGTGATTATGATTGTCTTGAAAAAGGTCTTACAAGCTTTTAAGTAACCTCGGGTGTTGGAGGGGTGCAAAAACCTTCTTGAGGCGTTCCTATCGCCTGCATGTCCCCGACACTTGGGCCAATCCAAAATACGGGGCGGGTGTTTTTAAATAATTTTCTGAGCCAATGAGGGAATTTGGGGAAGGGAACAATTTTTGATCACGGGGCCAGAAGATAACATCCGCCACTAGCTAATCCAAAAATACATCACGTAAATCCCAAACTGTGGGAGCCATCAAACTTTACGTTTTCTAACGTCTATTGTATTTTTAGCGACTTTTTCGTAATCTACGTTTCCCCATAAATTTGCTGATACGTTAACCTTTCCCAAAATTTATTTCGACGTCTGGTCACCATTCCGGACGTCGGTCGTAAACGCGAGACGTGATGTTTGGTTTTTAGAAGAAAAAGGTTGCACGCCAGGAATATACAATTCGTATGGTTTATTCCGAAAACCATTAAATAATTCCTGAATTATTACAATTTGCTAGATTGAGGGAAATTTAGACTGTTCAAAAGAACAGTTGAAAATATGTGTTAGGGGAGTAATAACTATATCCAGAATGGGTAAGAGGAATCTGAGTCCAATACCATCTGCTCCGACACTAGTGGACTTGGAGTAAGTTAAAGCATCCCAGATCTCAGCATCTTGAGCAGCAGCATCAAAATTGAGTTGATCTGTGGGAGACTCTATAAGGCCAAGTAATCGCATTGTTTTCCAAAATGTCTTATGAGTGGCTCCAGACAACCTTTGACAGTAGTGCAATCTTTCCGTCGCCTCTCCGGAGCTTGCTTGTCATAGAGGTCAAGAACCTTGGAATTAAGGTACTCCACCTTAGCATCTATGTCAGGCAATCGGTAAAGTGGCTGCCAATCAATTTCGCTCGCATCAGACAACAATAACCTGCAATCTATACTTTGAAGATCACGGTGGATCACAAAGCGCCGGGAAGCAGTCTGACGTCGTAACTGCAACGCACAGTAAATCAAGTCATGATTCGAAAATTGAAGTGCAGGCAACTGACCCAGCGTAGGAATATTGTCCAGACGGGATCAAGAATACTATGAGAGGAAGACGAACGGTGAGTTGGCAGAGATGGTAAGATCATAGATTTTGTGACGAAGTTATAAATTGTAGTTTTTCACAACGTGCATCATTTTTCAATAAGCTGGTGTTGAAATCATCTATTAAAGGATTGTATCAAAATGAAGAGAGTGTCTCTCAAGAATCTCCTGCGCCTTATTAAAGTAATTGGCGAGAGGAGGACAATAAAAGACGCCAAATAAAACCGCATTGCCTGCACATTTTATCTTCACAAGTTGGAACTCGGCACGTAATTACACATAATTAGGTAAAGTAAATAAGGCGGATGGTAAGGGGAAGGGTTTAGCCATGTTTCGCTCACCATTATAACACCGAAGATACTAGATTCGAATGTTGCAATGAAATCATCAATGTGCGCGTTTAAACTGTGCGAATTTATATGACAAGCAGAGACAAAGTTGGTTAATCCAATGTATTAGTTGAATGGTTTCATACATCTTTCATCAAATAAGTAAAAACATATCAAAAGTCAATTTCTTCGACTAATCTTCAGGTTCTTTCGAAACCGTGTCAATTGATACAATAAATAAATGCTGGAAACAATCTTATTCTACTGCTAATTTTTTAATAATTTCAGCAAATATTCTGCAGTATGGCTGTGTCTAGATGTATCTACAGAATTTATTAAGTAAATTTGTTCATTTTCAACGTCTGTCACACACACACTATAATTAGCTCGTGATGCACATTGCACCAACATTTTCTTCTACTTTTGCCTAGACAGAACTATGACCTGAATCACCTAAATGTCATTTATTAGTTGGCTGGAGACATCATATCTATTTGGCGGTGTATAACCGGTTCGTTGCATACTTGTTAAAGTTAGAATTCCTGATGCGGACTAATCAGCATCAGGAAATTTTCCATATTTGTCTGAAAATCAATACTGGTAGATGGGGCTCTGACAAAAAATGATGTAATACCCGACGTCATCATTGCAAGTATGCAACCAATATCACAGTATTTCACCAATGGCAGGGATTTGCGTATTGAAATACCAATACTGTGATATTGGTTGCATACAATAATAATAATAATAACCTTATTTTCATTTCTACAATACAACAAAATCAATACAGAATAAGGAAAGAAAACCAAGTAGAAATAAAAATCGGTGAAGTTTCGTTTGCTGCTCAAATGCAACAGACGATTTTCAAACATGACCAATTGTGATATGTCCATTATAACACCCAGATTCCTAACCGATGCTCGAAACTCAATTTGTTGCCCGTCTATAACCAAGTCCATCTGACCTAGACAAGCGCGGGCGTGGTCCGATCCAAACACAATAGCTGTCGTTTTATTATTATTAATGTGCAAAGAATGTTCTTTCGAGTATTGCCAAATGTTTGATATATCACTATTTATAAAATTCATTGCACGCCGAAAATCTGCAGGTGGGAACGAGTAGTAAATCTGGGTGTCATCAGCATATGAGTGAAATTTACAGTATTGAAGTCGTTCTGACATCGTGGATGTATATACATTATATAAAAGTGGACTGAGAATACTGCCCTGCGGTACGCCAGAGGCTAATGGTCGCCGTAGAGACTGGCGATCATTTAAGATCACCCTTTGCGATCTACCCGTTAAATATTGAGTAAGAAAAGAGAGGGAGTTATTGCCCAGGCCACTGTAATGTAAAATAGAGATGAGAGTAGTGTTCTTATAGAGGAATCTATAAGAACCAAAACCGTAACCATTCCCCTATCAGACGCACGGACAATATCATCACAGATATGAAGCAGCGCCGATTCACAGCTATGTAGAGGTTTAAACCCTGACTGCAATGCAGGTATTATTTTGTTATCAGATAGTTGCTTCTCTAAAATCCTTTCAAAAATTTCCGAAATTGTTGGCAGTAGGCTAATTGGCCGTACATCCTAAAAAGCTGTTGGTGATTTTCCTTCCAAGAGGAGGGAAATGTGTTGGTTTCGAGACAGGTGTTGATAATATGTGTTAAGAATTCAATAATATGTGGATAAAATAGCGTTAATATACACTGTGAAATACGGTCCAGTGTTGTTAAATACCCGGGTATTTATTTTCAAGGGAAAATACCCTGGGTAAATACCCTGGGGTATTTACCCAAGTTGGGTGTTTAGAGGTATTTATAAAATTTAAAATCAATACAAAGATCACTAAAAAAGTAAACAAGTTTAATTCAAAAATAAAAGTTCTTTTTTAATAAAAATCATTAACACTGGTTATTTACACAAAAACTCATAAAAATAAAACAAGAAACGCTAAATAATATATTCATTTTTAATCATAATAAATTGATATAATCTAAATTAAGACAGATTCGTCTGATGATATGTCTTCAATCGTTGACAATTGCTCGTCTTCGTCCATTTCATCGTCGCTTTCTTCATTTTTGTCGGTATCTGTTATATTTTGGTTTGTGTTACTTTTATATGTATTTAATAGCTTATCATTGTAAGTTAAATATGTTAATTTAGCGGCATTTGTCGTAGTCAGCCGATTTCTTTTTTTGCAGTGCAGCCAACTAAACGCGCTAAAGGTTCTTTCTGTTGCCGCTGATGTTATGGGTGCACTTAATATCCGAATGGCGATATCTGCCAATTCGCAAGTTCCCCTCAAACCTCTCCACCATAAAAGTGGTGGCATAGAATCATGTCCGTCCCATAAAATGGTTTTTGCCCATATATCTTCTTTGTCACGAAAATTTACTAACTCGGATCTTAACTTTATTTCATTTATATGAGAATGCTTTCCCATATTATATATAAATGTCATTGCGTCCAACAACTGAGTGGGATTTAAATCGCACCCCTGAGTTGATGGATTTAACAAATCTGCGGCAAAATGTATGTCGCCTAGTGCAAACTTCTTTCTGTCGACCAATTTTTTAATAATATTATCCTTTTCGAATTCTTCGAAATTGATGACATTAATGATGTCCATTAAAGTCGACTCCAGTTTTGTTAATTCTCTATAGACAATATGTATTTGTGGTTCATTAGATTGCACTTTTATTAATAAGTTTATTATAGGTTCTAACAGCGACATCATATTTTGGATATGATTCCAAAAGTTATCATCAAGAATTTTTTTCTTTATTTCTAATGTGATTATTACTCCTTCGGTTACCGCTAAGGTTTGGATAACACTTTTATTAGTCACCACACTTTTCAAACAATCCAAATAACTACCCCATCGCGTTAGTGCTGGTAATTTAAGAGCGACTGTAACATCTTTTTCTCTTCCTATTTGATCAAAAGTTGCTTTAAGCACATGACTATTTTTAATAGTTTTTGTGACTTGAATCACATCTGCTATTTTTGTTTTAATTGATGAACTGTTAACAATATCACCACATAATAAATGTAACAAATGTGCCAAACATCCTAGCGGTACAATATGAGGATATTTTTCTTGCAGTAGTCTGAAACTTGCTCTCATATTCGCCGCGTTATCACCAATGACTACCAGAAATTTTTTGGTATTCTACTTTTTCATTACTGTTTCTATTTGTTTGTACAAATATGTTGCTGTATATCGCCTTTCCCCCGAAAAAACAAAATCAACAAAAAGTGGAGCGGGGGTAGATATTAAAAAATTTATAATGGGTTCGTTGCGCAGATTAGACCAACCATCACATTGTAAATGTAGGTGCTTACAATTATTAACTGTAGAATTAACATTATTTTTCATTTCGACATACTGTGATTCTAAATATGTTCTTGCTAAACGATTTCGGGAAGGAGGCACGAATGCGGGGCGAATAGCTTTAAAAAACTCGATCCATAATGGATGTTCTACTAACGAGAATGGCGCACCGCTGATGAAAACAGCTTTTGCCAGACGTTGATTGAGCATTTCCTACATCAAAAGAAAATCATCATTGTAAGTTTTGACTGATAGCAATTTTATAGTAAAACATACATTTGTCGCAGGATCCATAGTATCGAAAAACGGTGTAATTGCTGATGATGAAGATAATGTTGACATAGAACTTCCAGGGCTTTCAAAAGAACTAGATCCAGGCACAACACTCACTGGATTATTTTCTTGCCAAGTTACTACCGATTGATCTATATATTTCACCAAACTAGGGTTTTTTAAAATATTTTTTAAATGTTGTGGGCACTTAATACAGTTTTTAACAATGTGAGTTGTCATTTTATTAACATTGCCGTGTTTATACCGTTGATTGCAATATTTGCATATTACACCTGCCTGTTCATGAGTATTAAAAAATGTCCAAGCCTTGCCCTTAATTTTCGGCATTTTTACAACACGTTTTTTTACTACACAAAAAGATATTTTTATTTTTTTTTAATTTAAATGAAGTATATTTTTATTTAAATTACGGTTTTATTTCGTGTTCTACTCTATAAGGAACTACGCGCAACAAAACTACAGTCAAAAATTACACAAACAAGTTTAAACAAGAATACAGGTGCTTGCGAGACGCGCCCCGTTGACGCCGTGCGCGCAAGTGTAAATACCCGCTGTTTGGGTATTTACCCTGAGCCGGGGTAATTACAAGGATAAATACCCATTTTATAAATACCTACCCGCCGGGTATTTACCCCGCGCCCATCACTGGAAATACCATCAGCACTAGCTGATGTGTTTTCCGTTGAGAGAAAAACTTGCTCGACTTCTGCCTGAAAGACTAGTTTGAATTCGCAAACCTTGACTCCAGTTTTACATGTATTTAGGTGAAAGCTTTTTATTTGATGCAGCGAAGAAGCAGGGGGGATAGCAGATATTAGATAATCGTTGATAATCTCTCTTTTAATAGAAATACTTGCAATGATGACGTCGGGTACGATAATTAATTAACACACTGTATTTTAAACTCTATGATTCCTGTCAAGTTGACTCCACTTATACTGATTNGACGCACGGACAATATCATCACAGATATGAAGCAGCGCCGATTCACAGTTATGTAGAGGTATAAACCCTGACTGCAATGCAGGTATTATTTTGTTATCAGATAGGATAAGGAGCAGTTGCTTCTCTAAAATCCTTTCAAAAATTTTCGAACTTGCTGGCAGTAGACTGATTGGCCGTATATCCGAAAAAGCGGTTGGTGATTTTACTTTGGGAATAGGAACAACATTGGCCTCCTTCCAAGAGGAGGGCAATGTGTTGGTTTCGAGACAGGTGTTGATAATATGTGTTAAGAATTGAATAATATGTAGATAACATAGCGTTAACATATACTGTGAAATACCATCAGCACCAGCTGATGTGTTTTCCATTGAGTGAAAAACTTGCTCGACTTCTGCCTGAGAGACTAGTTTGAATTCGCAAACCTTGACTCCAGTTTTACATGTATTTAGGTAAAAGCTTTTTATTTGATGCAGCGAAGAAGCAGGAGGGATAGCAGATATTAGATAATCTCTCTTTTAATAGAGATACTTGCAATGATGACGTCGGGTACGATAATTAATTAACACACTGTATTTTAAACTCTATGATTCCTGTCAAGTTGACTCCACTTATACTGATTNTGTTCTTATAGAGGAATCTGTAAGAACCAAAACCGTAACCATTCCCCTATCAGACGCACGGACAATATCATCACAGATATGAAGCAGCGCCGATTCACAGCTATGTAGAGGTTTAAACCCTGACTGCAATGCAGGTATTATTTTGTTATCAGATAGTTGCTTCTCTAAAATCCTTTCAAAAATTTCCGAAATTGTTGGCAGTAGGCTAATTGGCCGTACATCCTAAAAAGCTGTTGGTGATTTTCCTTCCAAGAGGAGGGAAATGTGTTGGTTTCGAGACAGGTGTTGATAATATGTGTTAAGAATTCAATAATATGTGGATAAAATAGCGTTAATATACACTGTGAAATACGGTCCAGTGTTGTTAAATACCCGGGTATTTATTTTCAAGGGAAAATACCCTGGGTAAATACCCTGGGGTATTTACCCAAGTTGGGTGTTTAGAGGTATTTATAAAATTTAAAATCAATACAAAGATCACTAAAAAAGTAAACAAGTTTAATTCAAAAATAAAAGTTCTTTTTTAATAAAAATCATTAACACTGGTTATTTACACAAAAACTCATAAAAATAAAACAAGAAACGCTAAATAATATATTCATTTTTAATCATAATAAATTGATATAATCTAAATTAAGACAGATTCGTCTGATGATATNTTTCGATAAACCACTATAAATCTACTAATAAACGAAATAATGTTAAAATCTACCAGTATCGCGTTTTAGTCCGTGAACGTGGAAACTAATTATTAATCGGGCCGTAATTAACTACGGTCAAAATTTTAATAATATCACACGTGTAATAGCGATGGGTGCTCGTTGATGCGTGAACAAAAGCTTCGTCGAGATTACCGAGAGAGCTTTTTTAATTAAAAAAGATAATTAGCGACTGTCCACCAACCCGAGTTCAGCACAAATAAATTCATTAATTAATAAATAATAGCTGATCAACAACAAAATTAAAACTTTTTTAATCTATTTCAATTTATAAATATGAAAAGGATTACGTTTAGAAAGTATAAATAATTAGTTGCTCATTATTAACCTCATTGATCAATATAATATAAATAACTTGTTATTATTTTATGAGATGAAACAAAATTATTTTAACGATATTGTTTTTCCGCAAATTAAAATTGTGTATATGTACAGATATTTTAAACAAAATCATAACGCTATTTAGTGCACCTGAACAAATGTATATAACCATATTAAAACATTGAAAATGGATATAAAACATTCATTTATTTGGTTGACGGTTTATCAAAAAATGTATTACCAAATATTTTCGATAACAATGTGTTATTTAATATCCATTAAATTTTGTGTACGATTTTGACAATACAAAATTTAGCACAACAAAGCCCACCCACATAAACCTTCTGATGATGTAAATTGAAATGAACTTCGAATTTCGTAGGCCAGACAAACATATCGTCGTTCGATTTACGGACACAAATCGTTTATAATTTCCAGGACGATTATGAATTCGTTAATGAACCGAGCACTGAAATTCCGCGAACTGCCAACAAATTTTTACACGGTGGCCAATTATTGAATTTATGGAAGTTCAACAACGACAATCATCGTATTGACAATGTTAATATAAACGCGATATGTTTATTTAAACCACGAATTTAAGTTAATTTATTAGAAAATAATTATAATTTAATTGGAATATTTGATTCGCGTTTACTTCTTATACAAATTTGAAAGTAAGGTTGTGCACAACTTTTATTATGCAAGATGAACCAAAACAAAATTCTAACCTATCTAATTATTTTTTTAACACATCAAGACAAACAAACAAAACTCTTAAATAAACTTGGCTCACAAAAGTCTTTTTACTTAACAAGTACTGAACTACGAACGCTTATTGTAGGTTTACACAATAATGGAAAAAGTTTTAGCGAAATTGCAAAAATTGTTATGAAACTGTCCAATCTATTACTAAAAAATGGAAAGAAGCGGGTAGCGTAAATAATAAATTCAGATCTGGTCGCCCAAAAACTTTAAACAATAGAGACATTCGGGTTCGATTAAATAAGATTAAAGAAACAACTGCAACAAGTTTGGGTACTGAAATCGCTATATGAATTAAGAAACCAATACTTCCTGAAACGTTAGACGATTTTAAAATCGAGCAGATAAGTGTAAGGACACTAAAGGCGTAAACCGCCAACGTCTAAAGTTAACGCTGAAAAACGTTTCAGTTTTGTCATAAAATATAAAGACAATGATTTTTGGAAACAAGTCGTTTTTAACGTCAGCATGAAAGACAAAGTGCCTGAAACGGCACGGGGGTGTCGACGTCTGAAAAAGCGATGTTATGACACCATCCCATAATGTCTGCGAAAGTCCAGCTTTAACGCGTCGACCTGATGAGTTCATGTGTTTACGAACGAAACACAAGGTGTAAACTAAGTGTAAATTGCGTTGGCTTCGGAAAAAACTGGATCCTGCAGCACTACAATGATCCAAACTGAAGCACATAACTACACTCGACGGCATAAAATACTCATCACCTAAAATGATGACAGGTTTCAAAGTGCAATTACTTTTGAACGTATAAAAAATCAGGGTGTGGTCAGCATATGAGTGAAATGTATAGTATTGAAGTCGTTCTGACATCGTGGATGTATACACATTATATAAAAGTAGACTGAGAATACTGCCCTGCTGTACGCCAGAGGCTAATGGTCGCCGTAGAGACTGGCGATCATTTAAAATCACCTTTTGCGTCTACCCGTTAAATACTGAGTAAGAAGAGAGAGGGATTTATTGCTCAGGTCACTGTAATGTAAAATAGAGATGAGAGTATCAACATCAAAGGAGTCAAACGCTTTCGAATAATCTATAAGAACTAAAACCGTGACCATTCCCCGATCAGATATGAAGAAGCGTCGATTCACAGCTAAGTAGAGGTTTAAACACTTAAACTGCAATGCAGGTATCATTTTGTTATCAGATAGGATAAGGCGCAGTTGCTTCTCTAAAATCCTTTCAAAAATTTTCGAAATTGCTAGCAGTAAACTAATTGGCCATATATCCGAATTAGCCTCCTTCCAAGAGGAAGGAAATGTGTTGGTCTCGAGACAGGTGTTGATAATATGTGTTAAGAATTGAATAATATGTGGATAGCATAGCGTTAACATATACTGTGAAATACCATCAGCACCAGCTGATGTGTTTTTCATTGAAAGAAAAACTTCCTCAACTTCTGCCTGAGAGACTAGTTTGAATTCGCAAACCTTGACTTCAGTTTTACATGTATTTAGGTAAAAGCTTTTTATTTGATGCAGCGAAGAAGCAGGAGGGATAGCAGATATTAGATAATCTCTCTTTTAATAGAGATACTTGCAATGATGACGTCGGGTACGATAATTAATTAACACACTGTATTTTAAACTCTATGATTCCTGTCAAGTTGACTCCACTTATACTGATTTTAGTAACGCTTTCGATGTTTTGCTTCTTTCAAAACTTCGTATGTTTGACATTGACGAACATCTTATGCGTTGGTTTGCCTCCTATACACGTGGAAGGACTCTGAAAATGAATATCAATGGTCACTTACATCAATAGTGTACTGCAAGGGAGTCACTTAAGACCTCTTCTATTTAATGTTTATATTACAATGATATTTTTTCAAGAATTAAACACTCTCATTGCTTGATGTGTGATGATTCAAAAATTTTTACTCGAGTTTCTTCACCTTTGGATTGCTCGAGGTTACAGCGCCACATTGATGCGCTACGTATTTATTGCAGCT